CAAGAAACAAGAAGACATATGAGAGGAGAAAAAAATATTATGATTTTATTATGTGTGGGGATTTTGCTTGCATGTATGTCTGTACCTGATACCCGCAGAGGTGAGAAGATAACATTGGATCCTCTGGTACTGGAGTTGATGGGTGGTTGTGAGCTGCTGTGTGGTTGCTGGGGATAGAACCTGGTCCTCTGGAAGAGCAGCCAGTGTTCTTAATCACTGAGCTGTTTCTCTAGCCCCAGAGAAAAAGGCCTCTAAAGGGAAGCGGGGAGCAGGGCGGTGGTGGTGCACGTCTTTAATCCCAGCACTCGGGAGGCAGAGCCAGGCAGATCTCTGTGAGTTGGAGGCCAGCCTGGTCTACAGAGCAAGATCCAGGACAGGCACCAAAGCTACATAGAGAAACCCTTTCTCAATAAACAAACAAACAAAGGAGAATAGAATGCATGTGACATGAAACCAGAAAGGGTCTATCGGAGAAGGGAAGGGACCAGCAGGAGGGAGGCAGAGGGACTGGAGTGTTGGAAGAGAACAAGAACAAAGACCTGGTGTGGTACATGCCTATAGTTAAGTACTTGGAGGTGGAGGCAAGAGGGTCAGGAGTTCAAGGCCAGGCCCAGCCACAGAGTGAGTTTGATTTTGTTTTATTTTGCTTTACTTTGTTTTTTTCGAGACAGGGTTTCTCTGTGAAGCACTGGCTGTCCTGGAACTCGCTCTGTAGCCCAGGCTGGCCTCAAACTCAGAGATCCACCTGCCTCTGCCTCCCAAGTGCTGGGATTAAAGGCACGAGCCACCACTGCCTGGCTACAAAGTGAGTTTGAGGGAAGCCTGGGCTACATGAAACCTTGTCTCAAAACAAACAAACAAGCCCCCCAAGAAAACCAAGAACAGCGTTGGAGCGCAGCTGGGAAACGGCTTACTCCACCATAGCGAAGACTTGACTCTAACCCCTAGCACTCATTAAAAAGCCAGGGGTGGTGACACAGGTTTGTAAGTCCAGCACTGGGAAGTGGAGGCAGACAAATTCCCGGGGCTTGATAGCCAGTTCGTTTAGCTGAATTGGTGAGCTCCAGGCCAACGATAATCTAAAAACAGAAAGAAGGGTGGGACCCGTGAGGCCGCTCAGTGGGTAAAAGTGTTTGCGGAGCAAGCCTGACAACCTGAGTTCAGTCCCCAGAATCTGTGTAAAAAATCCAGATGGACTGGTGTCCGTATGTAATCCCAGCACTCTGGAGGGAGGCAGAGAAAGAGAGTTTCCGTGTAGCTCATGGGCCGGGTGGCCTAGAGTGTGCAGCATGGCAGAAACGGAGGCCCGATCTCCACAAGGCGGAAAGAGAGAATTGACTCCACAATGTTGTCATCTGATCTCTGGGAAGTATGCCTGAAAACACACACACACACACACACACACACACACACACACACACACACACACACAGAGGTGTAGGGGTATAGGCAGAGTGTAGTGGCCCACACCTCTGATCCCAGCATTTGGGAGGCAGAGGCAGGCGGGTCGCTGAGTTCCAGGCCAGCCTGATCTATGTAGCAAGCTCCAGGTTTAGTCAGGGCTGCACAGAGAAACCCTGTCTAAAAAACAAAACAAGGGGTTAGAGAACTGGCTCAGCGGTTAAGAGCACTAGCTGCTTTTGCAGAGGTCCTGAGTTCGATTCCCAGCACCCACATGGTGGCTCACAACTGTCTGTAACTGTAGTTCCATGGGATCTGATGCCTCCTTCTAGTGTGCAGGTATACATGCAGACAAAACACCCTAATACATAAAATACACAAATGAATCTTTAAAAAAACACACAAAACAAAACAACAACAAAAACCCCAAACAACACAAGACAATAACAAAAAACGAATTAAAGAGCAGGAACACAACAGAAGGAGGACAGTGTCTGAGGAATTGACCTAAGGGTCTAGTGTTGACCTACAGCTTCTATACATACATGTACATCTGAACACACATGTGCTCCTGAACACACACACACACACACACACACACACACACACACACGTATGAAGTTGCCAAAAGGAAACTCATTACTTTGCATACTAGTCATCTTTATTTATAGATTTTTATAACTTTAAAAACAAGGTTTATTTATTTTATTTTACGTGTCTGAATTTTGCCTGCATGTCTGTCTGTGCACCATATTCATGTAATGCCCATCAAAGTCAGAAGAGGGCATCAGAACCCCTGAAATTACAGGTGGTTGTGAGCTGCTATGTGGGTGCTTGGAGCTGGACCTGGGTCCTCTGAAAGAGCAGCCAGTGCTTTATCCTCTAAGCCATCTCCGCAGCCCCTTCTCTCATGCTAATTTTAAAAAATCCTAAAAAATAAAAACCCTAAAAATGGAAAAGAAACGTGAAGGTAGGTATGGTAGTTTGAATGTAATTGGCCCCCACAAGCTCATAGGAAGGGGCACTATTAGGAGGTGTGGCTTTGTTGGAGTGGGTGTGGCCTTGTGGGAGGAAGTGTGTCACTGTGGGGGTGGGCTCTGAGGGCTCATATATGCTCAAGCTTCACCCAGTGTCTCAGTTCACTTCCTGTTGCCTGTCGATCTAAGATGTAGAACTCGCAGCTCCTCCAACTCCACGTCTGCCTGCACACCACCATGTCCCACCATAATGATAATGGACTGACCCTCTGGACTGTAAGCAAGCCCCCATGTTTTCCATTATAAGAGTTGCTGTGGTCATGGTGTCTCTTCACAGCAATAGAAACCCTAACTAAGACAGAAGTAGAGCACGGTTTCTTTTCAGGGCTGGTCAGGCTTTGATGCTAGCAGCTGCAAATGGTTTTTCTTGTTCAGAAATTTTGAACCTTGTTTTCAGTCAAATAGTCTCACTGCTAAGCCAGGGTGGCTGGGCAAGTCAGCTTATCCAGCTTTGATTTTTGACCAACATTCATGGAATGTTTGACGATGGCTAAATTGAGGATGCCAAATAGTTCCCTAGTGCAACACAGTAGATTCCATGGTTTTCCATAACTTACCTATCAACGGATGAGGACACACGGAGAAGCCATAGGCTTTAAGCAACACACACTTTTGTCTGTGGTGCTGAGGTCAAAGCCCCAGGGCCTTGCGCATGCTAGGCAAGCTCTCTGTCCTTGAGCCTCGGCTCAAGCCTTTCGTTTTGCAAGCTTCTCCCCGCCCCCCCCCCGCCCCCCCCCTCTACTCTGTTCCACAACTGTTTTTAGTGCCATCAGGCTTTTCACTTCCAAGGAAGAATCCATGTCAAGTGGTGTTGAGTGTTTGTTTATTTTTCCCCTTGACTTCTTCAACAGATATTCTGTTATTTGTTTCATGCATACTATTTATAGCTCCTTCTCAGCCACTTCAAAGCTGGTGTTTGCCCTGACAGTAACAACAGCTGGTCTGTATTGGTGCATCTGTCAACTCATTAAGAGCCAAAGAAAACCTCTTGAAAACATTCTCCTTGTTTTAAAATTGACTGTTGATGTCCCCCCCCCCCCAATGTCCTCAGTTCCCCAGCAACTCTTTTCATTGAAAAGCTAATGCTGCGGTTGTTTTTTTCTGGACGCGTTTCTTCAGCTGCTGCAATCAAGCTGATTTAATTAAACTCACTTCCGGTAAGAGCTTTCCGTGTTTGGTTAGCAAACTAGCACGTTGGAAATTCATTTTCTTTGCAATCTCATTTTCACATTTTAGTTTTTGAAGCATTCCACTGTGATTAGATATGTACTGAACATTTCCAACCTTTATGAGAACTGCTTTTCTGTGAGCCGGAAAGATGGTGGTTTGCTTAGCCTGCTAATATTGATTTATCTTAGTTTCTTTACATTTCTTTATGACTTTATATGTATGGGTGTTTTGCCTGCATGTGTGTCTGTGCACTACACACATGGGGCACCCTGGAGGCCAGAAGAGGGTGCTGGACTCCCACGAACTGGAGTTACAGACAGTTGTGGGTCACGATGTGGGTGCTGGGAATTGAACCCAGGACCTCTGGAGGAGCAGCCAGTTCTTAACCACTGAGCCATCTCTCCAGCTGTGATAAAATACTCAGTCAAAAGCCGCCTAAGGAGGGAAGAGGTTATTGTATTTCTGAGATCAAGGCACAGTCCATCATGGCCAGAACATCAGAGCAGCAGGAGCCTGACGCAGCTGCCACAGGGCATCTAAGAGCAAGAAGCAGTGAAGTAAGCCAGCTGCTGCTCAGCTCTCTTTACTCATAAACCCAGTCAGGGATCTCCTGCCTAGGGAACGGTTCTGCCCTAACTTAAGATGACACCCAGAGGCCCATCTCCCAGGTGATTCTAGATTCTGTCAAGTTGACGACACTAACTTTCACATTGATATATTGGGATGGCTAAAGAAACTGGGCACCCATCTCGGTACCCACTAAAATAAGTAAATCTTACAAGTTTTTTTTTATTCTTATTTTATGTGTATGAGTATTTGCCTGCCTGCATGTCTGCGCACCACATGTGGGTGGGTAGTGCTCATGGAAGCCAGAAGAGGGTGTTGGATTCTCTGAAACTGGAGTTACACGTGCTTGTGAGCCACCATGTGGGCAGTGGGGATCGAACCCAGCTCCCCTGGAAAGGCGACCAGGACTCTTAACTACTGGGCCATCTCTCCAGCCCCAAAGAAGCTTTAAAAAAATAATTTATTTTTATTTTATGTACATTGGTGTTTAGCCTACATGTATGTTTGTGTGAGTATGTTGGATCCCCCAGGAACTGGAGTCACAGACAGAGGTGAGCTGCCATGTGGGTGCTGAGAATTGAACCCAGGTCCTCTGGGGGAGCAGCCAGTGCTCTTAACCACTGAGTCATCTTTCCAGCCCCCCAAAAGAAGCTTTTGGAGGAGTGAAAACTTACCGTGGGAGGCAAGTAGATTTGAGCAGTATAAAGAGATGGGTTGTGTAGATTTGTATATGTGTGTAATGGAGCCCCCTTCCCAGCCAATGACTCATCACACAGGGGCTGAGAATACCAGTTGTCAGAAGCCATTCTGGTGCTTGGGTCATAGGGGCCCTTGTGACATCATCACTCTGTCCTTACTATTCTCTCTGCTGGATCAGAGCTAGAGAAGCGCAGACCAGAGGGTGATGGGAACATCTAGCCCCTAACCATGGGTAATTTCGTAGAATATAGATCTGAGGGGGGTTCAACCATGCATGCCTAAGTCAGGGCACTGAATGCTTTATAAGAGATTGATCTGTCCAGGTGTGTCCACCCCACAGCCCATGGGCAGCATGCAGATGAGGAGAGCTATGAACGTGGCCCAATATAAAACCTGAAACTTCCTTAAAATGTTATGAGATTTATGTGTGTGATTGATTTTGTTTTGTAACTCAGTTATGTGGTATTTTTCATGTGAACTTTGTAGGTGGTAATGTCATTCACAATGTCTGAAGGTTGGATACATTTGGTAAGGTAGGGTAAGGTCTCCTAGTTACCATAGTAGGGGATTCCCCCTCCATGGTTAGTAGTGTAAGAAAGGCCAGAAATAGCTGGGTGTAGTGGCCCACAGCTTTAATCCCAGCACTCAGGGAGGCAGAGGCAAAAGGATATCTCTGAATTCAAGGCCAGCCTGTTACTGGACAGCCAGAGCCACATAGTAAGACCCCATCTCAAACAAACAAACAAGAAAGGCCAGAAGTGGGGTCTTGTTGACTTGGAACCAGGAAAAACATTTTTATCTTCTTCCCTATTTTCTTCCCAAATAAGGAAAGAGAGCTGATTAAATAATAATCAGAACAAGGCATAAGTAATCAAGTACCTGGGAGGCTGAGCAGACAAATTGCTATGAATTTGAGGCCAGGCTGGGCTACATAGTGAGTTCCAGATCAGCTTGGGCTATAGGATGAAAGTCTCAAAAAAAAAAAAAAAAATCATCTGGCTGGAAAGATGGCTTAGCGGTTAAGAGCACTGGCTGCTCTTCCAGAGGTCCTGCGTTTGATACCCAGGGCCCACATGGTGGCTCACAACCATCTATAATGGGATCTGTTGCCTTCTTCTGGCATGCAGGTATACATGCAGATAGAGTATTCATACACATAAAATAAATAAATCTTTTGTTTTATTTTGTTTTTCCGAGATAGGGTTTCTTTGTGTAGTTTTGGTGCCTGTCCTAGATATTGCTCTATAGCCCAGGCTGGCCTTGAACTCACAGAGATCTGCCTATCTCTGCCTCCCAAGTGCTGGGATTAAAGATGTGCACCACCACCCAGCAATAAATAAATCTTTAAAAAAATGAATTAAAGAAAATGAAGAAGCATGTTCTAAACATGCTACATGCTGAGTATGTGCAGGCATGTATGTTTGCAATAATGTAAATGCTAACTGAAGTTTAAACTGTTGATAACATGGGTGAGTAACAGTTCTCTGGTAGATTGTTGGACAGAAGGTTCTGGATCCCAAGGAGGTGGTCCTGCCTAAGTGAATCTTTTTTTTTTTTTTTAATATTTATGTATATGGTATGCTCTCTGTATGTACTCCTGCATGCCAGAAGAGGGGGGAGTCATATCCCATTATAGATGGCTGTGAACCACCATGTGGTTGCTGGGATTTGAACTCAGGACCTCTGGAAGAGCAGCCAGTAATCTCAACTGCCAAATTTATTTATTTTTACTTTATTTGCATTGGTGCATTACCTGTATGTATGTCTATGTGAGGGTGTCAGATCTTGGAGTTAACAGTTGTGGGTTGCCCTGTGAGTGCTGGGAATTGAACCTGGGTCCTCTGGAAGAGCAGTCAGTACTCTTAACCACTGAGCCATCTCTCCAGCCCCCCCCCCCCGAAGTGAATCTTAAAATCATTTTACTTCTAAATCACGGGTGTCTTGCTCTAGACGGACCAATGAGACAACCCCTGGAAAACTGGGTGAGGTAGCTAGGGCAAATGCCCCCGTCTTATGACAGGCATGCCCAGACACTCAGAGGTCAGGTTGACGAATTCCCGCCAATTAACCCGCATATACCAGAGGAAGGCTTACGTAGCTGGTCACCTGGGTACAGCTGTGGCCCCGCTGGGTCCTGCACCTCCTTAACGGAGGATCGGGATTCCCGTGTGGCACACCCCGAACTTCCTAAGTGTCCTAAGTGGTCTTTTCTCTCTTACAAGGCCCAGAAGAAACTCCTGCCGTGACAGAAAAGACTCCTGCCATGACGGAAAAAACTCCTGCCATGACAGAAAAAACTCCTGCCATGACAGAAAAGACTCCTGCCAAGACAGAAAAGACTCCTGCCATGACAGAAAAGACTCCCGCCACGACAGAAAAAACTCCCGCCAAGACAGAAAAAAAGCGCGCCTTGACAAAAACATCCGCAGCGGTGCTCATTCAAGCCTGGTGGCGTGGCACCCTGCTGCGACGCTCGCTGCTGCATGCCGCCCTCAAAGCGTGGATCATTCAGTCCTGGTGGAGGAAGATGCTGGTGAAGTTGTGGGAATTGAGGCGGCGAGGGGCTCTGGAGGTGTATGCTAAAAAAACATGGGCAACGGTCAAACTTCAGTCCTGGTACCGGATGTGGCGCATCCGCCAACGATACTGTCGTTTGCTAAATGCTGTCCGTATCATCCAGGTTTATTGGCGTTGGCATAGTTGTCACACTCGTGGTTTTATCCAGGGCAACTATGAAATCAAAGAAAACCAACTGAATATTCAACTTGAAATTTCCCTGGGCTCACAGGCTTGCAAGGTGCAGCAATGTATAACCCTACCAATAAAAGAGTGATCAGGTCTGCTACACCCGTGTCCTCAGCTCTCTTTATCAGGATTTCCAGGTCACTATTGGAGTCAATATGGCAAATACCAGGTATCTGGCAAATCAACTCTGAGGGACACTATTGAAAAGGAGCCTCGGTGCTGGAGGAGAAGGATTTGGGATAGATTAGTAATGTCTGCCATGGGCAGGAGCGTTAGGATTTCAGGGTTTCCAGGTGTTAGTTCCAGGGAGAACATATAAATGGTCTCCCTTGACAACATAACATAGAGGTCTGTATTTTGGAGTTTTGTGTTTGCTACAAAATTGCACAAGTTATTTTAAAAATCATGGTAAAAATTTGACACAAACTCACTCTTTTAAACTAGGTTGAAAGGTAATTACATTGTGCGACCGTCACCATCAATTTCCATCATGTTTTCATCTTGCAAAGCTAAAAATTTACCCATTAAACAGGAATTTTTTGTTTCTCCCTCCAGCCCTGGACAACTTATTTGTCTTTATGCATTCAACTTTTGATGAGTGGCACCCCTTCCCCGTCCCCATTCTGGAGAACCCAGAGAACTTGCAGAAAACCTATGTTGTAGCGACTGGCTTATTCCACTTATTCCAAGTTCAGGTTGTAGCACGTGTCAGGCGTCCCTTTGAAAGGCTGAATCACAGCCCAGAGAATGCACGTACTGCCTGTGTCCACCTGTTAATTGATGTGTACCACTCTGCCTTTTGGCTATTTGAACAATGTGGCTATGAACACAGATGGACAAATAGCACTTTCCCTTCTTTTTAAAAAATTTGTGTGTGTGGTGTGTGCATGTGTATGTGTGTTTGTGTGGTGTAGTGTGTCATGTATGCATGTGTGTCTGGTATATGCTTGTATATGTGTGTATGAGAGTCTGTATGTGGTGTATGTTTGTGTGGTGTGTGTGTGTGTGTGTGTGTGTGTGTGTGTGTGTGTCTGTGTGCTGTGGAATAACCCTTCTGAAGACTGTGAAAATGCATTGCTCTCATTGTTAATAAAAAGCTGATTGGCCGATAGCTAGGCAGGGTTTTGGGACAGAGAGAATGCTGGAAAGAAGGGTGGAGTCTTAGGAGTTATGAGCAGATGCAGAGAGAAGACAAAAATTCAGTGTTGAAAGAAAGTACCACCATGTGGCAGACCATAGATAAGAAATATGGGTTAATTTAAAATGTAAGAGTTAGCTAGTAACAAGCCTAAGCTATCAGCCGAGCATTTATATTTAATAATAAGTTTTTAAATGGTTATTTGGAGCTGCTGTAAAGACACAGAGAAACTCCACCTGTGTGTGTGTATGTATGGTGTATGCATGCATATGTGTGTATATGTGTATGAGGTGTACGCATGTGTGTGTGTATATGTGTGTGTGTGTGTGGTGTTTGCATGCATATGTGCAAGCTCATGCAAATGCACGCAGCTACCCTTGAACTCACGCTGTAGTTGAGGATGAACTTGAACTTCTGATCCTCTTCCTGTCTCCATCTCTCCAATGCTAGGATCATGGGGTACATACTCCCCCATCATTATAGGTTTGTTTGCTTTTCGAGACCTGTCTCAGTGTGTAGCTGGCCTTGAACTCAGGTCCTCTTGGTATCCATATGCTCCTTTGAGTCTACACAAAGGAGTGGAAAACTTACATCCCCATAAAACCCCAAGCGTGCATGATTTCAGAAGTTTTATTCATAACTGCCCAAATTTGCAAGCAACCAAAGTGTCCTTCAGCATAGGAGGGGTTGAATAAACTGTGATGTGTCCCTCAAGTGGAATATTTTGTGGTGTTAAAGTGAGTAAGCCATGATGACACATAGAAGAACTTACATGCATATGACTCAAGGAAAGAAAGCATCCTGAAAGGCTACATACGCAGTGCGTGCTTCAGCTATGTAGTGCTCTAGAAAACAAAACAAAAACAAACAAACTATGGAGGAAGTAAATAAAGTAAATGTCAGAGATTCGTAGGCTTTTGGGGGTGGGGGTTGAGAATGGAGAAGTATGTGGCCTGGGATGAATTTGAACTTGCAATCCTCTAGCCTCTGCCTTCTGCCTGCTGGGATTACACGTGTGTACACCTACCTGAGCACATAGGATTTTTTTTTTTAGGGAAGTTATACTATCATTCATGATTCCATAGCAGTGAATACACGGCAAATCCAAGAGTGTATGCTAACAGGAAGTGTGTGTTTTGGGTGATTTTGTTGTCGGCTTGTGGACTTATTGTAACAAATGTGCTGCTCTGGTGGAAGATGTTGATTATAAGGGAGATAGGAGTGTTTCAGGGCAGGGGGAAACCTCTCCATACTTTCGATTTGTTGTGAACTTAAAACTACCAAAAAGTTACAAACAAACAAACAAACAGCTAAAAGACTTCTAGGCTGGTGCGATGCTCAGTGGATAACGATGCCTGTCACCAAGCCCGGTGACCTAACCTTGACAGTGAGTGAGTGACCACGTGACATCTTTCCTCCGCTATCATTTAGCTCGTGAACACACTGTCCTTCACGGAGCCTGCTGAACTTTGGTGTTTTATATCAAGAGTTTTAAATTTTCAGTATATAGATCTGCGTTTACTGTATTAAGGGATTATCCAAATGAATTTTCTCTTTTCCTTCCTTCTTCCTTCCCTCCTCCCTTCCTCTCCGCTCCCTCTTCTCCTCCCTTCTTCCCTTTCTTTCTGCCTTTTTCTTTTTAGATTGGCTCTCATGTAGCTCAGGCTAGCCTTGAACTCACTATATTAAGTTAAATCCTTAAGTTATCCTTAAATTAAGGATGACCTTGAACTTCTGACCTTGCTGCTTCTACTTCCCAAGTGCTGGAATTACCGATGTGCACTACCATGTCTGGTTTTACATGGCACAGGGCTTTGCACATGCTGGCCATGCACTCTACCGAAGGAACTACCCTACTTTCTAAATCTTTTTCTTTGGGTGGATTTTCGTTTGTATTTAGAGTCTTGAATCTGTACTCTCAAACCTATAATCTGCAAATAAGAGCGGTTTGGCTTCCTCCTTGTCTGTCTGTCTGCCTGTCTGTTGTTTCTCTTTATTGACAATTGCCTGGGCTAGAACTCCCAGTACCACAGTGAACACCTTTGAGAGTAGATGTGCTATCTCACTTGCAGTCTGGCAGGGAAGTGGGGTTGGCGGAGTGTGTTCGGTTACTGTTAGGCTAGTGGTAGGGTTCTCATAGGACCTCTTCATCAGACTTCTAAAATGCCCAAGAGTTTTCATCATGAGTAGATGCTAAATTTGCCATGTTACTTTTCTGTACTGATCAATATAGTCACATATGGACTGATGGATTTTAATGTTTATCTTTGCTTCCTAGAGTTAAATTTGGTTTGCTCGAGGTCTAGAATCACTTTTATATGCTGTTGGGTTTTGATGTGTGGTTTTTGAGTGTGATGAGACATTTTATTGCCCAGTTATACGTGACTAAGTACCTAGGGTACTGGACATTTGTGCTCCTCAAGGATCAATCTGGGACAGTGGCTCTGTGTTTGTGGTCTCATGCCAGTGAAGACCAATGACTCAGGTACTTGTGGGAGTATGACAAGAAGAAGCAAGCTTTATTAGGGTTATGGAAAAGTGAGAAGTTGAGGGAAAGTGAGAGGCTGTCAAGAGTGAGAGGGGTCCTCACAGAGGTAAAAAGCTATTGATTGACCTTCCTGGTCTGGGGGTTTGTAGAGGGCTGCGGCGGACACTGGACAAAGGCTGAGGTAACATCGTAGTTTGGTCTCTGCTATCATGGGCACAGATGCTCTGTGCTTGTCCCCCTGACCCACTCAAGGAGATGATCATGTCCTGTCCCTCCGTTAGGGGTGGTTGAAGCCTCTTCTTCTTCCTCTTTTTTTTAAAGATTTATTTATTTATTTATTTATTTATTTATTTATTTATTTATTTATTTATTTATTTATTTATTTATTAAGATTTACTTATTTATTATGTATACAGAAGAGGGCGCCAGATTGCATTGCAGATGGTAGTGAGCCACCATGTGGTTGCTGGGAATTGAACTCAGGACCTCTGGAAGAACAGTCGGTGCTCTTAACCTCTGAGCCATCTCTCCAGCCCTGAAGCTTCTTCTTTATCCATGTCTGATTCTGACTTTGTTAGGTGTTGGCCTGACTATCTGCTGGCCCTTAGACACTGGCTGGCATCGTTACCTCCAACTTTGAAGGTGTCTCGATTGCTATTAATTATACTAAGCTAGTTTTGTTCCTCGAACCTACCAAAGAGGGCTGGAGGAGAGATGGGTCAGCGGTTAAGAGCACTGGCTGGTCTTCCAGAGGACCTGGGTTTGATTCCCAGCACCCACATGGTGACTCACAATCACTTATAACTTCAGTTCTAGGCTATCTGATGCCCTCTTCTGGCCTCTCTGGGTACCAGGCATACACATGGTACACAGACATACATGTAGGTAAAACAGACACACACACACACACACACACACACACACACACACACACACACATCCAACAAAACATCTACCAAGAACTAGCTGTGTTTGGTTGGGTAACTCCTGTGCACCAGATGGGTTTCTCTTTCCTGAAATGGGGGTCAGGTGGGAATAGGGGGGCTTTCTCGGAAGCTCCCATTTAATGTTACAACTAGCTGTATTCGAAGCAAGGACATGTGAAAGAACAATGGTGCCTTGCTTGTGTTCCTCGGCGGACACATAGTTGTGTCATAACCAGCCCTCTGCCTTGGTGCTCCAGACTGCCATTTTAACACTTCCTCTTCCTTTTAGCCACGGCCTCCATTCTCCAAACCTGTGAGAACAGCTTCAGTTTTCACCACGGCCTCTCTTCTCTGACTGCGTGCTGAGAGCCAGGCTCTGTCCTGGGGTGGAAATGCTGGTATTTTCTTGTGGGTTTTGGCATGTAAGTCTCCGGAGCTACTGTTCTACAGTTCCTTGTATCATAACTCTCCTTTGCATCCATCCCCTGGTTTCACTTTGGTATGAACAGTGGCCTCGCAAAAGTTGATTTCTGTTCTAATGAAATTGTGTAAAATTGATTTTTTAAAATTATTCTTTAAATGTGTGCCTTCATACGTACGCATGTATGCATGTGTATGGGTGCTTGTGTACATGTGTGTGCACATGTGTGTATGTGTGTGTGTGTGTGTGTGTGTGTGTGTGTGTGTGTGTGTATACGTATGTGTACGTGTATTTGTGGAGGGGGGAGGTTGACTTTAGGTATCTTTCCCGATCCTTCTCATCTTAGTTTTGACTCAGGGTCTCTCAGTAAACCTAGAATGCACCAGTTTAGCTGGACTGGCTGGCCTTCAAAGCCCAGGCACCCTCCTGTTTGTGCTTTTCCAAGCCTAGGATACAGGTGTCCTGCCAAGACTGGCTCTTACATGGGTGCTGGAATCAAACTCAGGCAAGTACTTTGCTGGCCGAGCCATTTTCTCAGTCCCCCCTCTTCCCAAACAGTGTGCTTTTTCTAAGTAGCCCTGTCTTGACCAGGCTGGCCTTGAACTCACAGAGATCTGCCTGCTGAGGTCAGGTACAGGCTGACAGGGAAACCAGCCCTGTGAAGCATCCTCTTCCCTGTGCTGCTCAGCTCTTCCTTATAGCCCAGCAAGTTCTTTTCTCCTGCTGTCTAACAAATAGCTACCACCACGGGCAACATAAAGATTCCCGCATTTCTTGTTCAATTGGAGAAGTTCAGTATTTCCCATTTATCACTAGGACAATTTCATAACATTTTTGTATCTGGCTACTACATATAAGCAATTTTCTTCCTTCCTTCCTTCCTTCCTTCCTTCCTTCCTTCCTTCCTTCCTTCCTTCCTTCCTTCCTTCCTCCCTCCCTCCCTCCCTCCCTCCCT